GTAGATTATTTCATAAAATGGTTGAAAGCTGAAGCCTTAGCCACCATTACGGAACACAAGTTGAGAAATTTATGTGACAAAACATAGTCTATAGATTTGGATTACCTCAGTCTATAATAACAGATAATGGCAAATAATTCAAAAATCTAAGATTCAAGGAATGGTGCTTAAATTTTCACATCGACCTTAAGTTCACGTTAGTTCCCCACTTTCAGTCCAACAAGCAAGCGAAAGCTGTAAATAAAACAATATTAGAATCTCTGAAAAAAAGACTCGATATGAAAAAAAGAAAATGGGTCAACAAGCTATTGGGAGTTTTGTGGACCTTGAGGATGACCATGAAGGTGCCCACTAGTGAAACCCCATTTCACTTGGCATTTAAAACAGAGGCTGTAGTGCCAATTGAGATTGGTCTACCAAGTTTAAGAGCTGAATTGATGTTGGAAGAAAAAAAATGCATAAGCACTTAGAGCTGACCTCGACCTCATTGAAAAACATAGAAACATGACCCTAACACGGATTACAGCAACCAACAAAAGGTAGCCAACTATTACAATGAGAGGGTCTATTGTAAACACATAAAAAAAGTGACCTAATACTTAGAAAAATTAAAGCTTCAATGGTAGATGACTGAGGTGGCAAATTGGCCCTGACATGGAAAATACCAAATATTGTTAAAGAAGTCATTCACGATACGACCTACAAATTCTAGGATCTAAATGGCAACCTCTTCCCAAAAACGTGAAACGTAAATAACTTAAAGATTTATTATTAGTAGCATGATATAAACCAAACTCACACTTGTATTATTTTATGAATGGCACTGCCATCCCAAAGATATGAGATACAAATCAAGTCTATTACCAGTATATCAGTTTAAACCGAGCTCACACTTGTATTATTTTATATGTGAATGATTAAATTATCTTCAGTAAGCTTGTATTTAAATGATTTGAAGAAATCTAACCTAGAACTTGTAATTATGTTCATCTAATTTAAGCAATTATGCAAGTCTTTAGTCTAATTATTCATCTTTAGATCGGTTAACTATTCTTAAACTTGTGTAAATAAGAAAAAAATGATGGTAAATCTGAGTTAAAACTTGAGAAAATTTTTCCTATTATTTCATTGTAACAACATACATTGGGTAAAGTATGGGAGGTCATTACGTTGATCTTACACAAAAAAATTTTACAAAGTCAAAAATAAAAAATTATAGAATTTATTCGTCAGCACCAACAATGATAGGGGAGCACTCTTATCAGTAGGAGTAAGATGGATGATTTCACCTTCGATGATGACCTCCATAACTTTCTCTTCAATCCTTAAGGTGAACTCCAGCTCATCTTTTAGTACCTTATTTTCATCCTCATCTTCTTATTCCTTATCTTTCTTGAGCTGATTTAGACAAGTTCTCGATCTAATGTTATTGATGTCAATATCAGAGAGATCGAGTTTTAGAGAGAAGAATTTGAATTGTACCTCATCCTTGGCCAGCTAGAAGGCACTAAGTACATTTTTTTTTAAAAATTTTACCTTTACCTGGAGATAGTCATCGGAGGCCTTGTACTCTTTCATAGCCTTCACTTTCAACTCAATTTCCCTCTTGTCTCAAGCCTCCAACTCGGACCTCAACCTTGTGATTTTGGCATGGGCATCATTAAGCTTTAGCTTAACCTATTCCTTGATAGATTTGGTTAAAGGCCTTGTCAACTAAGATGGTTTCTAACTTCGTTATCAGCTCATCAAACTTTTTTCTCAGTTCAACCTTCTTATTATGGGACACACTAAGGCTTGACTTAACATTGCCTAATGCCTCTGAGCTTCTCTTATACTTTTTAGTGAGGGTAACCATATCTTTCTCAACCTTTAGTATATGCCTTATGGTAAGATAAGCATGATGAAAGGCCTGGCTACTATTTTCCACAAGCTGATGTGGGAATTTTTTTTGAATTGTACAGAAAGACCTTAGACTTAGAAAAATAAAAAAAAAATAATAACGAGAAATCGAGCTAAGGGTAGGAGATACTCACCAAGAGGAGAAACTATGATATTGTAGAACTTTTTAGCTACATTGAGGTTGGAGATAAGGTCATTTGTTAAAGCATACTCTAACCTAGTGGATATTCTTTTTAAGCTAGGCCTTAGTACTTTAGCTTCGGGGTTCTTAAAAGTAGAGGAAAAAATCTCTACTTATGATCTTTTGGCTAAAATGGGTGGTGTTGGCATCAATACACCTTGTCTCCCCATAAGAGGGGGCCCTAAGCTGGATCTTCTTGTGACCTTTTTTGGGCCTTAGGGAGTGTTGATACGGTGGGACATCAAAGTCATCGCTACTGGCTATTTCTGTAAAATTGAGTTAATAGTTAGATTAAAATCAACTTAAAACAAAACCCTACGAGATTACCTCAAACCTACCTCATTACTTTATTTTGTTTATTACTTATGGGGATGTCAACCTATGAGCATCGATGATGAGCTCTCCCTATATGTAAAATCCAAAATCTTATCCCGATCTAACAAATTAAGGATAAAAAGGTCACCGATATATCCACAAAAGAGTTGGGTGTACTCTTTATTTTTTAGGCCTTAACCTCGGGCTCACTACCTTTATTTACCTTTTGTTTTTTAATGCATAGGAAGAGTAACTTCTAATTCTTTATTAAGCTCGAGTAATCGATGATAAGTTTTTTATTTGAACGAGTTATGATATAAAATCACTTGCTGTCATTATGATATTTTTTAAGAGAGAAGAGCTCCCTGAATAGAGGGAGAGAAAAAAATATTTAGTTGTTGACAAAGAATAATAAAAGCAACTATGTACCAAATAAATTTTGGGGTGAGCTGAGTAATGGTTAAATTGTAAGAATTAAAAATTAAAATGAATAAAGAATGAAGTGAAAATCTCAAACTAACCACGAATGAATCCCAATATATGTAGAGCCGATATGGTTCTAGTCTATCAGTGACCTAATTTGAGGAGTTTACATTATTATACTGTACCTCTTTCTTGAAAAAAAGAAAATGGTACCCAAAGTACGAACGTGATGTGTCGAGCACATGTTAAGACAGTCTTTTGGATTTGTTTTACCCTTTAGCTCACTCATCACATCTTTGAAAATCACGTTGAGGTCACATGAAGTATATACATGGACCTTGATGAGTTTGTCCTGCATTAAAGGACTTTCCCCCTTGTTGTCACTTTCCTGGCCAAGGTGCTCTTTTTCTCTTGTTCCTTTTTAGAACCCCACTCGTCAAAAAAATTTAACTTTTGGGTGAAAAACGAATCCTGATGAAGAGCAGTGGATGAAATAGCTCGATCTTGGAAAAAGAAAGATGAGATGGAGACCCCTAAAGAGATAATGAGATGTCCAAAAAAATTGATTGAGGAGGGAGAGTAGAAGTGGCAGAAGGTGGAGAAGATCAAATCCTAAAAGGGGAAACAACCGAAAAGGAAACAAGGTTAGCCATAAAAGATAAATCAATTGAGAGATAAAAAAAGTAAGTCAATGTTGAGTTCGAAGTTGATATAAGTACATAGCTTTTCCTGTATTTAAAGCTCATTCATATTTTACCCAAGCATTTTTTTCATTGCATCATTGCCCTTCCTTGGACATCGAGTTGAACCAATAAGCCTTCTTTGTATAGTTATGGCCCCTAATAATAGAGAGGATCAGGTCATCATCCTGTTGCCCTCGCTAACCTCCCCTTAGCTCTACCCTATAACTCTCAGCTTCTCTAAAACTCATACTAGGGGATATGATTAGAAATACATACCAAAATGGGTATAGAAAAAATTTTGAAGACTAGAAAGCTATTGAAATAAATTATTTTAGGTCAAATAAAGAGCAAAGAAAGTAAAAGGTGAAAAATTGAAGCCCTACTAACCCTTTATACAAACGCTTATAGACCATATGGATGACATATTTCACATCACGTGTTAAAGCATGAGCAAGAAGATGTCTTTTTATCTTTCTACTTTAAATTTTATTGCTTAAACCATTTTTCTCTCATTTAATGCTATCAAACCGGCTTAACTGGATGAACCTTAAGTCAGACCATTTAAATCAAACAATTATCATGGGTAAAACGAGAGCCCGATTCACCTCTAAGGTCCAAAATAAAGTCTCAAATCCAAATTAAAAAAAAAATCTCATTAAGGCTAGACGAATTTCAGCATTAATCTCGAGTTACCTCAGACAATTATCATATCGGTAACCTTTAAATTGATTATGCACTTAATCTAAAATACACACGTGAGATCGGATGATCGTCAGGTCAGATCGTGGTTCAAAGCTAGTCATTGTCCAAAATTGACCTTCCCATACAACGTCATCCTTCGACGAACCATGCAACCAATTTGTTCCACACTGAAGACATCAATAATAAATTTGATGATCTAATACTCAGATCGTCTAATGAAGGGATATAGTATTATGGGCATTTGATAGTCAAAATGATATAATGATCTTTCATCTCAAAGCCTTCAGTAGATAACCGAAGGTATCTTTATCATTTGTTAAATCGATTTAACATAGTCAATGCTACCTCAACTCAATCCTATCCTAATTGTCCTTTTATGATCTCTTTTAATTTACCTATAAATATAAAAACTCATGTACTATGAAGATAGGTTGATCTCATTCATTTTTCTCTCTCTTTCTTTTTTACTTTTTATCAACCTGATACAAAAACACTATCAGATTAGAGCTTGACACAAATAATTTTTATTTTGCAAAATCTTTTGATTTGAGATCATTTTGAACAATCACGTCAAATTTTGTTTTCCACGGGTGGCATCATCTATGAGAAATCACATTACTCTTCAAAGAAAGCACAAACCACACATTTTTTATTAGGGCTTGGGCTTCAAAATTTTCAAAACGACAACCGTTTTCCACACACAAGACGAAATACGGCAAAAAACTGTTTTCAAAATTTTCGAACATCCAAAACCCTCCAAAATTTCGTAAAAAGGGCGTGAAAGTAAAGATATTTAGCGCCTTAACAAACAAATCCTATTGGTCACTTCCATTTCACTCGGATCGCAATCTTAGTCACACCCTCTCTCCACCGTACGATCAGAAAAGAGAAACAAAGGAAATATCCTCCCTCCACTTCAAAATTTCAAATCTTTCACCTGAGCTTCTCTATAAAAAACCCCCCAACTGCCTCACATTTCTGTGTCGAAAATCTTTTTAGTTTCTCAAGAAACAAAGAAGAAATCAATAAAACCCAGTTTCATTTTTCACTACCCAAATGGCTCGTACGAAGCAAACCGCCAGGAAATCCACGGGAGGCAAGGCACCAAGGAAGCAATTAGCCACAAAAGCCGCTCGAAAATCAGCTCCAGCCACAGGCGGAGTCAAGAAGCCACACAGGTTCAGGCCAGGAACCGTTGCTTTGCGTGAAATCCGGAAGTACCAAAAGAGCACCGAACTCCTGATCAGGAAACTCCCATTCCAAAGGCTGGTAAGGGAAATTGCCCAGGACTTCAAAACCGATCTGAGGTTCCAAAGTAGTGCCGTGGCGGCTCTTCAGGAGGCGGCTGAAGCTTACTTGGTTGGTCTTTTTGAAGATACCAATCTGTGCGCAATTCACGCTAAGAGGGTTACTATCATGCCTAAGGATATCCAGTTGGCTCGTAGGATTAGGGGCGAGAGGGCTTAATTGTTGGGCTTAACTTTACTATTCGTTTTAGCTCTTTTTAGTGTGTGTTTTAGGGTTTAATGCGGGATATATGGAGGCATTAAAGGGGAAAAATTGGTTTTATTAATGCTAAGTGTTTGTTAATGTCGTATTAATATTTGCAAATGGCTATCAAAATCATAACTTATGCACCTGGTTGAGGATAATTTTTCAATTTTTTTTTTCTTGTTAGATTGCACCAAAAAAGCAAGCTTTGCTTTGGTGTGCTCCTGACCACAAAACAAAAGCCTTTCTTACAAGTGCCTAAATTTTTTAGCCTAAATGCAAATTCACTTGACCTTAAACTTGATAATTTAAAATATTATATGAAAATAATACCCCAAAAAAAAGAAGATAATTGGCAATTATGGAAAGGTCCTGTCTGCACTGTCTGATGTATCCACTCTTTTGTTTGTTTGTTTGGTTTTGTTACAGTTCTGATAGCCAGTTAAGTGCAATTTTCTTCCGTTCTGCTATTATATTGAAGGGCTTGTCATGCAGACCCTGATTTACCACTTGATCGGGACAGAAAATTCCCTTCATCATGGAGATTGCTTCGGGTTTTCAGTGACTTGCCACTCTTATATTTCGGGCTTTTAGTTGTGCTTTTCATAGGGTATTTTACAGTTGGTCAAGTTGTCAAGAGACTATACATCATGGTTTAGAAAAAATGGCTAGATATCAGGTTGAGATGCTATGGGAAGAATGCTTATAGAAATAGAAGCCAAAATCGGAATGACAGGATTGGCCACATTTTTTTATGGATTTTCTCTTGACCTAACAATTTTTATTGGGCTTGCAAATCTGCCAAAAATGGGGGAAAAAAAGAAAAGAAGCAGCACTTGATCTTCCTCATGATCTCTGGGTCTCAAGCAACTCCATCGGTCACAATATTTGACACAGATGGAACCATACCAATGCAAGTAAAAACCATATTATGCTGTTGAAAATTTGTGACTTACCTGCATGAATAGAAGTTACATGCAGTTCAGAACAGAGAAATAAAACAGAGAGTTGACTGTAATAGGACTTCAGCGCCCTAAACAACTAAACATCAATGTTTGGAAACAAAATGAAGATGGGTTTAGAATATTACTTAATTGGAGATAATTGTTTCTAATGTTCCATTAAAAATCCCAATGCTTTCTATCATTTTTGAGTGTCCAATAAAAGCCCAACCAAAGGAAGCTGCATCATAAATACTGTGCCCTTCCAGAGTCTTGATAATCTGGTCGAGACTCACTTGTAACATTCCTCTCATTTACCCACTCACCTGAAACATAATCCAAATAGAAATGTAAGAATTGCATCAGAAGTAGATTGTGTATATCTAAAAGTTAGTATACAGAGTAACATAATTTGAAAATGTAAAAGTTCAACAACTATGAAACATCTTTGATTAACAGCAAGATTAGAAGTTCACTTAATCTAAAACATAATCCTCTAAGTAGAACACTGTTTTGTTGGGATAGAAAATAGAACTTCACTTGCCAATAAAAACAAGTGGGCCATTTGCTTCAATCTCCATTCAAAGCTTATTGTAGTAATGCAAATCCACCATTATGTTAGGGAAGCCTATGTCAGCCTGATAAAGTTCCAGTGGATCTGCATTGCCAATTCTTTGGCAAATTATCACATAAGCTGATGGAGATTGTTTCCGCACAACTTCATAACCTTGTCTGTAAATCGAAACTAATGTATCCAATGGAACTTCCGCTGTAGAGGGGTTCATTTAATAGCTCGATTAGCAAGGCAGAATGTTTTGCATACCTGCAACAACATAACAATGAATGTTAGTCAGCCCAGCTTGTTCCACGTGTGACCATTAGCCGAAAATCTAAACCCAGGAGTGGCTAATTTTGATACTGAAAGGTCTGGGCTTAGGCCACTAAAGGGCCATAATATTGGAATTAACCAGCAACTAACTACTATAAAGGTTAAACAATATAATTTTTATAAAAAAAAAAGGAAAAATAATATAAAGGCTTTGAGATTATAAATTTTAATGATTTTCACGCTTTTATGTGAAAATTATTTTTAATAGTGTTGAACATATAGAAGAGATACTGAAAGAGAATTATTTGCTTATCCAAAGTGGACAGCTAAGACTAGTGAAACTGAATGGACTAATCTTAACGTTTTGTTTAGTAGGAAATATGAAAAAAAAAATTATTAGTCCAATTATTAAGATTTATAATCTCTTTTCTACTTTATTGCTTAATAATTGAATTAATAATTTTTTTTTATCTTTTATCTCTTTGCATCCTATCAAGTAAAGCATGAAGTATTTTCACTTTCGAAAAAATTAAAGTTTTTTTCTTTTATTTTTCAAGGCTATTTGTAGCCTTATCTATACTTGGATTAGTTTTTTAAATTACAATTATAGTCATATATTATAATTAAATATTATATTTATATAATTAATTGAATAATAAACTATTATATTATAATCATTAAATAATTAACTAATAAATTAAAATATAATTAAACAATCAAATCCACATATAATTAAATTTGAATTTAAAATCTTGAAATTTTAAGACTTTCTCCTTACCACTAAATCAAAATTTGATTCGCTATTTGATTGGCTTGTTGGCCATAAGATTGGCAGCTATCTAGCACTTGGTTAAGGCCACAATAAGGAGTAGCATATTGGCTTATGAGATATGAGCATGCAAGGATTCAAGTCACCCTTTGACACGTGTTTTTCCATGTGTTAACCTTTAATTAATCCCTTCAATAATTTGAATTATTATAAACAATTTTCGAATAATTCAAATTAATGAATTGCAATTCTTCTTCTACTGTCCTTCTAGGCTTGGATCTCTCTTTGTACAAAAAAAAAAAAAATGAATTGATTATGTAAAAAGATATGAATAATCATTACTTGAACTATTAAAGAGGATACATATGATCTAAAATCAATTATTGCTGTTGTGTCACAAGGAGTATTCAGTCCAAAAAATTTGACAATCACTAGCTGATAAAACGTGGAGATTTCTTTAGATGCAAAGTATCCAACATTCAGATAAGAATGAAAAATATTAAAAAAGTAAATCCAATAACATTAATTAATTAATAATTAAGCTAATTAATCAAGAAGTCGGCAAGCAGTTCTGGCAAGAATCTAATTAATGGCAACATGATGACAAACCTCATCAAAATATGGGTCCGGCCAGTCTCCAGGGTGTATATATATTCTAACTGAAACTCCTACATCAAATAATGGATTCACCACGCCCATAGTTTTACTTATAATTTTTTGAGGGAACCAAAATGTTGCATAGAACATATGACATGAAAAGAGATGAAAATGACGAGCAATTTTTTTTAGAACTGCTTAGGCATAATAAAACGACATTCACCAGAGCATTTATAGTGAAAATACTATCTTTCTGATGTGGATATAAGGAGAAAATAAAAAGAAAAAACAATGTTCCGTCCCATCAATTCGGCATATGATCCCCCACACAAATCAATTGTAGTTGCATCAATTGCTTCAAGAACATTAATATCTAGCTTGGTGGCTCTTGTTTTGGTTTCTTGAATTTTGTGCCCTAGAAACAACCCCAGAACCAAAACCCCCCACGAAGGTGCATCGAATTGGGCATTCATTGTCCTCATTCGCGAAAGAGAGATGGAGAGGGAGGGAAGTGGGGCAGACGAAACGTGCATGGGGCTTGGGGGCAGGGGGGGGGGGGGGGGGGAGTGTTCGCCTTGGACTGGCTCAGGTTCAGGTGTTCATTTTCCTACAAAGGCAAAGTCTGCAAACCTCCTTTCTTGGATTTTTCCTTTTCAAAAAACTGCAACTATCGCCATCTGTATGCTGAAAAGACATTTAAATGACACTTCAACTATAGCTTCCTATTATTATCAGCTTCAACCATTAACATATGCAATTTTTGGTTCATTTGTTAGAACTAAAGTAACAGGTAAAACTAATAAATTTCTAATCACAAAAGCTCTTTTTCAGTTCCACTCAATCAATCACCATGGTGATAAGACGGAGTTGCTTGCCAGCTTGATCGATCTATCTGCGATTTTTTAGCTTTAGAACAATGGGGCAAACAGCATGACGTAGCCATAATAGCATTATTGTCGGAATGTGATGACCAAAGCAATCTTTCTTTAATTATTTCATTTCATTCTTTCTCTCTTGATATCTGCTGTGTTTATTATTATTATTATTATTATTATTTTTGTCCTTTTGAAAACTCAGCCAACACTGACTCACTTTTTTGCAATTATTCCGACAAAGAATATATATGAATTAAATATTGAGAGATTGGCCCAGTCGACGCCCAGGCTAGCCACGTTCGTCACTTGTAGTTTGGGGTTTGTGTGTTCATCTAGGAATGGTTCATCTCAAATGTGGGGGCTTTTAAAAGTAATTAATGAAAACAGAAATGTTGTTTAGGGCAAGGAAGTAAGTTAATGTGGTCTTTATCGTACATTATTGCAGACACCGCCTCCTTAACATTTTGTTTGTGTAGTCAGATGGTCATGGACATGGATTCTCCCCTCCTTCTGACTTCTGTCTTTCCCCTGCTCCAGGGATTTCCCTGTCTAAATTGTCATTATCATCTGACCAAATCAAACCAAGGCAACATACTCGAGAGAGAACAAACTCCTCTGCATTATCATTACTGCCACGTGATGGAACATCCATAATACCTCTGTATTTTTATTTCTCTTTTTCAACTAATCAAACAAATATTCTTTTAATATTTTTAAAATAAGAAGAGAGAACCTATCTTTCTCTTTCTCTATCTCTATCTTTATCTCTGCCTTTGTCTCTGTTTCTCTCTCTTTACCCTTCACAAACTCTCAGATAAATTTTATTATGTCATTCAACTTATACCCATATTTCATTTGAATCATTCAATTTTAATTTATTTCACCTAAATCACTAAAATTTATTAAGCATATTAAAATTGATCATTCTAACAGAGTTCATCTAAATTTTGACAGAAAAATAACAAGATTATCATGTCATCAATCACATCATCGTCACATTATTTAATTAAATCATTATAATTTCATTAAAAAATCATTAAACTTTCGCCTAATCCTAACCAAATAAAAGATGAACTTTAATTTGTTACTAAATTTATTTATTATATCAAATTTAGTCATTTTAATATATCTAATCCAAAATAAAAACTATTTAAAATCTCAATATTAAACTTAACCAAATAACATTCATATTTTTTGTGTAATAAAAAATTCTCTCATACTTTACAAAAAATTAAAAGAAAAAAAAAAGTAAACCTAGAAAAGACAGACTTTTAATAAATATTTGCTTTTCTTTAAATTTATTAGAATGACCAAATTTGATATACTTAACAAATTTTAGTGATCTTATAATGAAAAATTAAATTTCAGTAAGCCATTTGAAAATTGGATGAAAATTTAATCGTGTTTTATGAAATTTTATGGGTTTAGTTAGATGCTGTAAAAGATGATATGGCTGCCATTTTATTTTTTTGTCAAATTTTGGATGGAATCTGTTAGGATGATCAATTTTGATATATTTAACAAATTTGAGTGATATGAATGATACAAAATAAAATTTAATTATCCAAATGGGATTTAGATATAAGTTGGGTGACTTATGGTGAAATTTACCTAAGCTCTCCTGTGCAACCTGGTGTCTACAAATATATATATATATATACACACACACACATATATGAATATTATTATAGATTAAAACACTTTATAAAGGAAAGGTAGGAAGACTTCTCATCTTATAGGAAAAGAGCCCAAATTTGTGATTAATGTTTCAAAGTTCTTTGTTCAGAGCATAGTTCTAATTCTAATAGGCTAATCCATACACTTTGTTTGTCAAGAAAGCTAGCTCTCAGAACTGTGAACGAGAGAAATTAAGAGATATCATGGCATTAGAAGCTGTGGTGTTTCAGCAAGACCCTTTTAGTTATGGCTGCAGAGACTTCCATAGCTTTGGAGGAGAAAGTGGAACCTTCAGCTATGACACTGCTTTTCAACAACAAGAAGAAAAAGCTTACTGTAGTACTGAAGAAACTCCTACTAAAAGTAGAGGCTTTGGTTTCAGTGCAGTGGTGCACCAACCCTTAAAGGAATGGAACTCCAAGTCTTCCTCCCAAGATAATGTCTTTGTCACCGGTGGACTCCCTCCGGTGGAGTCTCCACTAGACGCCTCATCTTTTAGGCGGAAGAGAAGGCGAACCAAAAGTGTCAAGAACAGAGAAGAAATAGAGAATCAGAGGATGACTCATATTGCTGTTGAAAGAAATAGAAGGCGGCAAATGAATGATTATCTTGCTGTACTTAGGTCTATGATGCCTACCTCTTACGTTCAAAGGGTATTTTTTTCTTTCTTTTTCACGTATTCCTTTTGAACTTATCAACTTTGAAAAGAAAATTTACTGATTTGACAGTCTCATATTTTTCATAGGGGGATCAAGCATCAATCATAGGGGGAGCAATTAATTTTGTAAACGAGTTAGAGCATCTCCTTCAATCATTGGAAGCACGGAAACGATTGGAAGAAAGATCAGAAAACTCCTCCCTTTCTTCACTCTTCTCCGATTTCTTTTTCTTTCCTCAGTACTCAACTGGCTCGACCGGTACCCACCTTAGCTGCGCTGCGGCCGCCGGCAAACCAATGGCTGAGAAACGATCATCTGCTGTTGCTGATGTTGAAGTAACAATGGTGGAGAGCCATGCAAACCTCAAAATACTGTCCAAAAGACACCCGAAACAGCTCTTAAAAATGGTTTCCGCACTTCACTCTCTAGGCCTTTTCGTTCTTCACCTCAATGTCACATCTGTTGAAAATATCGTCCTTCATTCTTTCAGTGTTAAGGTAATTATTAGTTTCTACAACATTTCAATATTTTTTATGCAATTCTATTTATAATTAGTATGGGATTTATGATTTTTTTTGTTTGTCTTTTTTGGGACAGGTTGAAGATAATTGTGAGCTTACTACGGTGAATGAAATTGCAGCTGCTGTTTATGAAATGGTGGATAGGTTTCAAGAAGAGGCACCTGCTTAATTCATAACTTTAGGTTGGGATCCTATTTTTATTTTATTTGCTAATCTTTGCTTGCATTGCATGGCAGCCATGATATCCATAAAGCAAGAAAAAAATGGGATTTCGGATTTCCTCAGGCCAAGTTCCTAGGAGGCCCAATCCTAGTAATTCAAAACATATCTACATTGTAACGTGTTAAATTCTAGTACTCAAAATTTTCTCATTGTTATAGTGTTAATATGGTTTTTTTGTTATTTTATAATTATGTTCAAGGAACATGAGACTTCAATTTTTTTTTTTTACAAAAGAAATTGTAGTATGAAATAATGAAAAAGATTATATGTATTAAAATTTAAAATTTAAAATTACAACATATAATTTTTTAAAATGATTGTGTGAACTAACAAAGTTAAGTCTCGAATTTAGACATCTTGTATTTTAGAATATAAAAAATTATATTTTATTTTAACATTTTGGCTTATCATTAATTAATTAATTAATGATAACTGGATATAAATGATGAAATTTGGCCATCTTTACATTTTAAAATTTCTTCCGTTGCACTTGAATATTGGATATTAAATTCAATAGTATGTGCATATATATTTCTTTATTGAAAAGAGTTAGAATTTTTAATTTTTCTTTGTTCAACCAAAAAACCCATTAGTCTCATTTGCTTTTATATTTATATATTTTTTAATTTTATCAAATAATATGATCAGGGTTCAATATCTATATGAGCAAAGTATAGAAAATGTGAGATAAAAATGAAAAAAAAAGTACATACTTTAATTCTTTTCCAAGTCGATTATGGAACACGAATGAACTCTCTTGTTTGCCCATTTTTACATGTCAAAGAAAGTGGGCCAAGCAACTGGTGATACATTTCTCAAACGCATGCAAGGGAAGCAGAAAGGAAGGTATAGCAGGCTTGGCTGAGAAGAAGGAACATACGTATATCAAATGCCCTTATGAAAGATTCGTTGCTGTTGTTTGGTTATCGGCGGTGGGTGAGATTGCTTGAGATTCAAAAGTCTCAAAGCTGCAATCACAATTGCTAAAGCAAGAGTAGCATTCTCAGAATTGTTGTGACAAACCATAGGGGAAAAGATTGGTGAAAGAGATAATTGAGGGCGACAATGCCATGGTTAGTTACTTTGGCGCTTTTGCCTTGGTATTTCTAGTGTGGGTTTTGCATTTGGCTGTAGATATTTGTTTCGAATGGTATATTACAACTTTGTGCCAGTAATCGTAGCAAATCGGAAATCAAAAGAAAGCATACAAATTGAAGAACCAAATGGTGAGCTCGGAAACAATATTCGTAATGTTTTTCATATGTTTTTGTTCTTTTCTCTTCTTACTTGTCTGATAATAATCCCATTTTGGAAAGAGCACACAACTTCTACGATGCAGGGTTCATAATAATGCCTTAATAGACATGAAATGTGAAATAGTTCAAAATCATTTACAGGAGCCGTTATCTACATCTGCCCCAACCTGTTGGACATTCAAGATGTGTGTACGTGTGTATAATCCTATATATATATATATATATATATACATGTGGTTCTATTTACATGCATTGTTGTAACAGAACCTACACAAGTAAAATGTAAGAATATAGGAAAAAATCAGATGATGGTCATGTGAACAGCCCTCAAATGGTCATAACAATCATCACTGCTACTAAAGAACTCTAAACAGACCCAGCAAACATGCCTCCCGCACTTACATTCTACGTGGTTACACCCATCGATCTTCTCAATGATATACCCACATACTGGGCAAGCTTTCACCTGCTCCTTTCCTTTGCACCACTCTTTCAAAGATGAATCTGGATCTTCCTTGAACTCCCGGTACTTCTCACACGAAAGATATGGATGATACTCCAGGTGGCACCTAGTACAAGTCTCTGCATAACATGCTCCACACACAAATAGCTCGCCAAAAGTCTCATGATCAGCAACACGATAAACTGAGGGGCAATCAGGAGAAGGGCAAAATCTATAAGTACCTCCACTGCATGCAACAAATGCCCCTAAAGAAGCCCTAAAGAGTTCCTCTAACTTCTCAGTTGACAGGAGAGACTTCAAATCAGTAAGCAATATGGGAACTTTACAACCTTGATGGGCACAGCATATTGGAAAGCTATCCAAGTTTTTTATGGCAGATTCACATTGCTCCACCAAACACAAACGACAGAAGAAATGGGAACAGCCTTCAAGCTGGTAGCCATCTTCTACTTCACACAAGCAAATGGGGCAGGTAACTTCACTATCAGATCTCTCGGCAAAATCTTTGCCTGTCTCTGCAATCTCAAGAACAATCTCTTCTAACTTTCGCTTCATCTCTTTGTCACCACGAATGGAAATAATATGATGCCTAGTGCTAAGAGTAAACTCAGCCCCAGGTATCTTCTCTTTGAGCCCGTGAAGGTCTGGCCCAAATTTTTTAACCACTTCCTTCATCAGGTCAGGAGGCAGACGCTGACCACGAAGTTGGACCTCAAGCTGCTTGCTCTCGTGGTAGGACAAAAGGGATTGAATCAATTTTTGCTGGGCTACGGCAATATCATCCGGAGAGCCAAAGACTCTTACATTGAGACTATGCTTGTCAAAAAAAATATAGGTTCTTGTCTCTCGCTCCAATGATCTCATCAGATTACTGCCATCTCTAGAAAACAGATGCTGTAGTATGGAAGGAGTGAGGCTGGAATGTTTTATGGTCCTCCCATTCATTAGCTCTTCCACCGGCCTTCTCAGCTCTGCCACAGTTTTTGTGGCATTGGCAGATATTCTCAGCCGATAGGAACCATTTTCATTTGCCTTTAGATAGCAATCTACACCTGCAAAAGATGTATATCATGGCCATTATGAGGAATATGCAGCCTCTAGTCTATTCTGATAATAATTGGAAGAATTTATCTCTAACCAGCCCAAACTCCTAAGTATTTTGAGTAGGATTCTTATCCAATTGGAAAGTTATTTTCCACTACTCCCACTTCTGTACGACAAAAAACTGTCAACCTCCAATTATTTCTGTTATTTTTTTTGGACCAAGAAAACAATTTAATTGATCAGAAAATCCACGATGTATGGAGATGTTGACACAGGCAAAAACAAGCTGAAAACAACAGAGACAACTAAAGTAGCGCTCAAGAAATCAGCTTGCAGAAATAACTTTTTCATCATTTCTAAGAAGATATATTCTAATGTTTTATATGCTAAAATGCACCTCTTAATTAATTTTTAAGATCACCCATGCGTCGCAATGCAGTTTAAATAGTTTAAAATCAGAATAACTGCACCAAAATCCTAAGGGTATGTTTCGAAGATATTTGGAGCAGAGTTTTATTTCAATCGAGGCTTTTAAAAGTCTAAAAATGAATTTCCTCGTTTGGGTAAAAAAATAGAGAATTTCAAAATTCAAGTGGAATTTCAACCTAAATAGGTGATTTTTCAAAATTCCATCAAATTCTCCACCCCTTAAATCCTAAATGGAAGGAAACATAATTGATATAACTGGAAATTAGAATGCAAAACAAGCAATTAAATGACTAGCTCTGGCGCACATATCTTCACACATAAGCAGAGGCACGTGTATATGACTATGAACGTGCACATGAATATCAGACATTAAAAAAAAAGAATAAAAGTGCTATGCCAGTAGGAGTACCTTTTAGATGTCTGAAGCTTGCTAGCAAAGAATCCAGTTGCTTCTTAATAACAGCATATACAGATGAAGAGCAGGATATAGAACTATGAAACAGTTGCTGGCATCTTATCTTCTGCCATGACAGACATCCAGGTAATACTTTCCCCTCTAGCTGCTCTAAAGCTCTTGCAGCTTCCAAATGTAATCTTCCATCAAAGGTTATCAAGGCTTTCATGAAAGTCTTCTTTGGTTCAGGCTGGAAAACCTGAACCTGGCAACAATATGTATGGGGATTCCTTTTAGGCATAAAAGGGGATATTTCTCTCCGGAGTGCCTCTTCACAAGCACCACATGTTGGATTTTCCACAGCATCTCCTCTCACCAGGAAAAAATCATGGATTTTCCTTTTTGTTGCCCGCTGTAGTGAATCCCAAATTTCAGCTTCAGAAAGCTCTTTATCAATTCCATATATCATTACAGCATCACCAGATTTCATGCCAACATCACACCGAATACGTTTTCCTCCTATTACCAGATTAGAGAAATCATCAATAATGAAACCAACATCAAGCCGATCACATTTAACAACTCCAAACCCTTTACTCTGCCTATGAGGCCAACAAACTTTTGCATTGACAGCAGGGAATGTGAACATCTTCTGATCACCTCCAAAGGATGTCACTGAAGGAAGTACCTTCAGTGCAGAGCCAGCAAAGTCAACTCCATCCAACTCAGCAGCTTTCCTGGCAGCATCAGGAGTTAGGAACGTTATCTTGCCCCATTTTTCCTTGTCATCACTCTCCTGCCCATTGGCTTGAGATTTGTGGACAGAACAAATAATGCCATTAGAATATTTCTCGAAGAAAATCAAAAGCTCCTTATCTTCAAGGGCATTAACATCTGAATGGAATATATCAACAGTCAAACATCTCTTATCAACTTCAAGATGCTTAATCTCAGCACCTGCTCCAAAAAGTGCCATAGATGGTGAGGCACTCTGTCCATGAAATAAAGGTTTCTCCATGCATTCATTAAGCAACCATTTCCTTTCACATTCCAGCACCTCATTTACAAAGGCCAGAACCTTCTGCATGTCCATGGATGAGGCAAATAGCAGAATCTCATTCTGGTCAATATTGACCTCAACACCAATACGTTCATCCATACAGGCAGTCCTAATCCGTGATAAAAGAGATCGAAGATTATGGTTAGATTTCCCACAAAATTTTTTCAGTAAAGTACTACCAAAACCAGTCATCGCCTTCACTTGCAACCTCTTGCTTTCCATCTTGAATGCATCAAACAGGGGCGAAGGATGGAGAGTGGCTAAAGATTCAAAATCAAAAGCAGTTACACAGACCAAATACTGCTTAGTTATTGATAAGAGTTCACCAAAAACAACCCAACTAGGCTTCTGACCAAATATCAGCAATGAACATGATGGATGCAGCTTAACATGTTGTTCAGTCAATGCCACTTGATAACCAAGTGGATCATATCCAGAATACATGGCTACATTTTCGGCAAGGGAAGAAAGTATGCTCACCTTCAAAATTTTATCACGCTCAGTAGACTCATGAGGATCCCATAACCAGTAACTTGGAGTAATAACAGCAAGTTCCTTTTGCAGACAAATTTCCAATTCAGTTACTGTGTCCTGGCATCTCCACATTGATTTAGCATTTATACTGTTTTCCCAGCACCATTTATTTTTCCTGTTATAGGGGAGAGCTTCCCATTCTTTATACACAGAAAGCAGAGTAAAGAGATCACCATTCCGGTGGCAAAATTTCACCTTAAGACAATCAGCTTTAACCTTATCATCCTCATTACCCACCCTGCAAAATATGCTAGTGGCATTTGCCATAACAGCAGCAAGAACAAGGCCCTCTCTACGCAGACCACAATGAAAGCAACTGAGAATTAGTTTACCAAGACGAGGCTCAATCCCCAATTTTACCAAGTACCGTCCGTCATCAGTTAACTCAAAAACGCCATTATTTTCCACAATGGCTCCCAACTGGATAAGATTCCTAGCTGCCATGTCAATCGCTTTAGAAGTAGGTGCATCAACAAAATCAAAACTCTGAACATTCTTGATTCCCAAAGCAAGGATCCTCAGAACGGCAACACCGAGATGAACTCTGCGAATCTCAGGCTCCTGATTAGGAGGCATTGACTCAAAATCACTCGCTGTGTATAGTCGATAGCATCTTCCTGGTTCTGTCCTCCCAGCACGACCAGCCCGTTGATTAGCAGAACTCTGGCTGATCCAGCACACTTTGAGAACATTCATTCCAGTACCAGGTTCAAATTTACTCTCCTTAACCATACCAGAATCAATCACATACTTGATCCCAGGAATTGTGAGTGATGTCTCTGCAATATTTGTTGCAAATACAATTTTTCTTTTCCCAGGGTAGTTCTGGAAAACACGATATTGCTCTTCAAATGATAGCTTTCCATGCAACGGTAACACAACTGCATTTGGAGCTTCAAAATTATCACAAGCCCATTCTACTTCCAACTGGGAAGTCAAAAAGGCAAGAATATTCCCCAATTTCTCAGCTTTATGAACTTCAGCAACCATCCTTATAACATCAGAAACATATGAAGCAACCGTACAAGAACCAGAAGTTCCCTCTGTTGCACAAGGAACATATCTAATATCAACAGGAAAGTTTCTCCCCATCACATGAAAGATTCCACAACCAAAAAAGTAGTCAGATAGTTGATTTGCATTAGCCGTCGCAGACATTATTATGAGCCTTAAATCAAGTCTTTGAACAAGTAAATCTTTAATCAATGCCAAAAGAAGATCGGTGTTCAAACTTCTTTCATGGGCCTCATCAACAATGATGCATGAAATTCCAGACAAATTCCTATCATTCATATAATGCTGCAGTAAACAGTGGTCAGTCATATATATTACCTTTGAATCAAACTGCTGAGCAGATGAGAATGCTGGATAACAAATGACTGAATTATCATCGTAACACCCAATGCTTTCTTCTCTGACTCTTTCTGCTAAGGAGATAGCAGCAATCTTACGTGGCTGAGTACATACAATTGATTCATGAGCGGCAATTCCTGAATCAGCAAGAAACTGAACCAGCTGTGTACTCTTCCCTGAACCAGTCTCTCCAATCAACACCATTATCTGTGTGTTTAATAGTTATAAGAGATAAAAGGAAAAGCCCTACATTGCAAGTAAATTTAAACACCCAAGTAACATAGGAATAAAATAAATAAAAGAGCAGAGAGAATTTTCTAATTATCTTGCAGTTACTATCTACTACTGCATGGGAAGATAAAATGAATCTTGTTTTTCTTTTGCCGAGATTGATAAAAACTTGGATTTGTATTAGGCCTCACTATCAATTTAGCCACTGTGCCCAACTTGCTCATTTGCAACTCTTACCCTATGTTAAGTTCTCAACCTTCATGGTATCTCAATGTTCTAATCCACTTTCTAGCTCTAAATATTATCCTAAATCCCAATTTAAGCAATTGAACAGCCAGCTCATACAATTTATTTGCAGACTATCCTACATGTGATCTAATTGGTAATGAGCTCCTCGCTAATTTTTCTAAACACAAGGATATTATCCAATACAGTAGTAGTGAAATTTAGAAAGTTCACAAGAGTCATACTTTTACCGCATGCTCATCTAACTATAAATAATGAAGTGAACACTGAATTACTAAGTTAACATGTATAGTTAGATGGACCCTAACAATTGGTTGTAAATTTCTTCATTTGCAATTACGTGGACGCGTGACACATATATGATTAACTTCAAAAGGATAGCTCTAAATATTATCCTAAATCTCAATTTAAGCTTTTAAACTCTATTGCACTTGAAAGTACTTAAACCTACTTTTGAAGTTTCTAAACTCTAAACTACACTGCCAACATATAAGATGATAATCCTTTAAATGAACACATCTCACGCATATAAACCAAGTGCTTTTAATCTCTAACACAGATGGCAAGTATATAACCAACTTTTCACGTTTTTAAATTGCATTACCAAGTTTCTATACTGCAATCCAAATCCATTTTCCAAAATACATCACAACCTCCCCTCCCCCCCCCCCCCCCCCCCCAAAAAAAAAAAAAGCAGAATACAAAACAGAAAAAGGGGTGAGAAATAAATTTTCACCTGTTCACCATGTATTCTAGTGAGAATCTCTTGCCTATGAGCATATATAGGCAAACCATCTTCCAACCTCCTAAATTCCCTCAAAATCAACTTATGAATTCTCTTCCAATCAAACTCTCCAACAACCCTGAAAACTTCCAAAGCTTCCTCTTCTTCCTCATTCCCAATTTCCCCATCTTCCAAACACCGCAGCAAACTCCTCATCCCCCCCTTAAACTCCTTCAACCGCTTCGAAATCATGGATCTCTCAGCCATCGAAGCTTTCTTCTTTTCATTCAAGTCAAAAAACCTTCCCATCGGATAATGCCTCTTACCCATTTGTCCTGACACGTCAGCAATCTCATCGGATTTTTCCTCGATTCTTTTCTGCCATTTCTTAACCAATTCCCCTTCCATCAATCCCTTTATATGGTTTGAGAAAAGGGTTTTAAGGTTTTGTATGAGTTCCACCGTGTCAGAAGGAACGAGGAAGCTGGAAATAAGGTTGGGAGTATAGTGGTAGGACCCATCAAGGCGGGAACTCCAGAGAGAAAGAATTGCAGAGAGGGTTTGGGTCCATTCCCGAAAACACAGGGAAGCCGCGATTTTTCCAGTGGTGTGAATCAGGAAACTTTCAGGGGATGGTTTGAGTTGAGAAATTAGAGTTTGGAGGTCGTTGGGTTTGGAGGGGAAGGAGGAGGGGGAGGAAAAGTCGGGAAGGAGTTGAATTATGAAGTTTGGGCGTTGGAGGATGTTGGAATTGGTGGAACCAACGTCGTTGGGTGCTGGCGGTGGGTAGCTGCGGCGTTGGTATTGGTTATTAACTGACCGAAAATCGGGTCTTTGATGGTGATCGTTTTGGTAGCTATGGTGGCGCTGCTGGCAAGGTTTATGGCCACCAAGTGGCGGGGGTTGGCGGTGGTTGGAGGATGCAGAGAAATTCTTCATGGCATAGAGAAAATAAAAATAAATCAATCAATCAAAAGGCAAAAAACAACAGTTCTATTTGGTTTTGGGTTGTTTCTCAGTTCTTCTTTCCTTATGATTTATGGAGTTCGAAGTAGAGAAGAAGAGACTGAGTAGTCAGACCAAATAGAAGAAAACGAAGAGTTTTTTTTTTTTTTCAAATAGGGTTTAAAATTTTTTATTCAAAAAAAAAAAAAAAAAGGTTTGGGGAGGTAAGGATTACGGCAAATGGGAAACAGGCAATGGATACTTCCGCTTTCTTATAACTTATTACCTTAACAAGCACATCCAAATTTTCTTTTTCTTTTCTTTTCTATGTTTCTTTTGATTATCTCTAAATCTAATCCTACGCCAAAAAAAAAAAAAATCCACTACAAGGTTTTCTAATATAGTAATATTGCTTTTGCTTATGAAAAATCATTTGTCACAAAAAAGAATTTTTTATTTTTTATATGAGTTATTTAAATTTATTATTAATCTTTTTAATGGGTACAATTTTATCATTATACTTGTGAATAAATTTATCACCAAACTTTACATGTTGGATAACAATTATCATAAATTCTAATTTTAATAAATAAATTAGGCATTTAGTTGTTAATTTATTATATTGTGTTATTCAAAATTATTAAAACATATATTAATTTGGACTAACATTAAAGTTTATTAACCGTAAAAATGTACTTGTATTCTTTTAAATTACTAGAAGGTAAGCTTTAAAATATACTAATTAATTAAAATTAATTTAAAAACATCAATTGATATCGATTAAAATTTTATTTGTAAAAAATTTGTGTTATTGAAAGTCATTCTTGAAAAATTATTTGAAAAACCTTTTTCCAAACAATATTTGATTGAAAATATCAAAAGCATTACTTGCCCGCGAAGTAGATGATAATGAAACTTCGAATGCAATATTTTAGGCAAATAAATTCTAATTTCATTACGTGGCCTTATTAGAAACCGCCATGTGTAAAGTCAACAGGAAAAGCAAAATGCCCGGGCGTACAAAAGCGCAGGATAAGATTCTCTGTTCTACCTGACAACCGAAAAGCAGCAAGATTTTAAAAACTGGGTCCATTCGTACGCTGCGACCCATTGTCGTTATACCTAAGTAAATCTAGAGTTAACACGGCTCACGCTATTCTTGGGGATCCCCAAAAGTAATAAACCATGTAAAATTAACTTTAACGAATCCTGAAATATTAAAATTTATATATTTATATAATATTTTATATAAAAATTATATGTTATAAATTTTTTATTTTATTAAATTTATAAATTATTATTATTATAATTTTAAATTTTATCATATTTATATTATATTTTTAATTGTATTTGTATCTATCTATATAAAATTATTAGAAGATGTTTAATTCATATAATTTTAATTTCTAGGAATAAATGTAATATTTGAGAAAGTTTGATACTTGAAATTTTATTTGATTTTTAGAGTATTTTATAATCAAATTTATTCGTTTGATTGATCAAATTTTAGTTTTATTCATTTTTATATAATTATCATAATTTTTTTAACAAATTATAAGTAATTTTTTCATTTTATTTTAATAAAAAAACTCAAACGATAAATGATATCTTTAATAATAAAAAAAATAATTTGTAATTAAATATACCCAATTACGATGTTTAATTAGATATTAAGTCATAATTGCTATATAAAATATATAAAAAGATCAATTATGATGTTTAGAAAAGCTTTGTAAAAATGTTTAAAAAAATTTCAAATAAGACATTTGTTTAAAAAAATATTCTTATTTGAATTTGTAAAAATTTTGAAAAATCATCTATTAAATAAAGTGTTTTTTACAAATGCCTTATTTGAATGAATCAAATAAAATATTTATTTTAAAAAACATCTTAATTGATATCAATTAAGACATTTAAAAAAAAATCATCTTATTCAATACTTTTGTAAAGATTTAAAAAATATATCAAATAAAAAATTTGTTCAAAAGAAATGCTTTAATTAATTTTAACACTTTAATTGATTATTAATTAAACCGATTTTTTAATGCCTTAATTATCACGTATTAAATTGAATTAAAAATTAGATAAATTTTTTTAAAAAAAAGTTAAAATTAGGTTTCAATTTTATTTTTTAAAAAAGTAACGGATATGTGACAAAATTTTTATTCAAGTTAAATTTGAAATAAAATAATTTTACTTTTGAAATTTTAAAATATTATAAGAAGATGTGAGTTTTTAATTTTGAAACTTTGAATAATATTAAAATTTTGATATTTTTTAAATTATTTTAAATCAAACGTAAAAACATAAATACACATCATCAAAATTCAAAAAAAAAAAATAAAATTCCATCTAACCAAATACACTCACAAGATTTTGTTTGGATGATCAAAGTTTTCATGTGACATGTAGTTAACTGAAATTAGTATTTTGAATAGTTATTCACTTTTTGTCGATTAAAATTAGTATTATAATTTATATTGATATAAAAATATAAAATATAATTTTTATTTTACTGAATTTATATATAATTATTATTAAATTTTAAATTAAATTATTTTTATATTTTATATTTTATTATATTTGTATCATGTTTTAAATTGATATTTCTACGCAAAACTGCCACAGGATTTGTGTGGATGATTAAGTCTTCACGTGACGCGTGGCTAACTGGAATCAGTATTCTTGATAATTATTCAACTACGCCAGTTAAAATGTGGCAACAAGAGCGCTCTTTTCTTTCGGTGAACTCATGGTTCTTCATCCAACGGCCGACGACCTCCGACCAGCGCTGCTGCCAATTACGACCGTCCATGTCCATTCCATACAAAATCAACGCCGGGAAAATCCTGCAAGTTTTATGTCTCCTCTCACCGCCGCCGGACCAGAACTCCTCGAACTAAGTGGTCATACTCATTTTGATCGTGAGCCTCTAATATTTCTGTTTTTCATTCTTTTTTTTTTTTTTTAGTTTAATTCATTGCTTGTTAGCTTTTTTAGTATTATATTGTTTGTAGAAACATTTCTATCCAAAAAAAAAGAAGGAAAATTTAGCGTTGAGCAAGAAAAATATGGAAATCTTTGTGACATTTCATGAATATCGCTCTGTTTTGGACTATAGGAATTCCATTGAGAAAGGTTAAGAAAAAACAACTTCAAAATCTAACAAATTGTAATTCCATCGAACAATTGCTGACCTTGAATCTGTTGTTATAAATTCAACCATGTAATTACCTGAACTAGTGTCAGACAGAATTTTATATTTCAATACTGGATATCAATAATTGTGTCCATCTGTTGATATCTTAGTTTGGAGCACAAGTCCATTTTACTTTTTTTATAAAGGAAGTCGCAGCTTCAGCATAGAGAAGGGTTGCAGGTGCTGGAATATAAACCCTAAACCTCCTAAACCTTTGGACGCTATCTGACTACTTGATCTAACTGAGTTAAACTCCAAGTTTGTCCATTTTAAGTTTTGACTAATAATTTGAGCGTTGTAGCACTTTCAGTACTATTTCATAAACTATTTATCTTTAATATTTGAGTATGAGATCTTTAAATTAAAATTTTCAGATTATAATGTTTAAAATGTCCCATTGAGGGCATGTCATTTGTTCTTATATGACATTAATGTTGTAAGTTGTAACCATATAATGAACTTCTTCCCTTCTCATCTGAGAATAAGAAATCATTGTCACGGTTTTCTTCTAAACTAAAAGAAACTACATGTACCTAACGGCTGTAAGAAGTATAAAATTATAGTTTTAAAGTGTTTTCTTTGGTGACAGTATAATCACTGTTTTAAATTATAGACAGTCAAGATTTGTGATTTTGGTGCCCTTCCATTTCTAGAGATGAAATGCCATTTGCAGTGCTCTGGATAACTAGTAAATCCAAGGAGTTTAGTTGGGTTACTTGGCTCCTATAACTTAATATCCTCAACTGCTTGCTGTCCTGATAAATAGATAACGTAGGTGTCTTAAAGTTGAAAGTGCAGAATTGGGTCAAAATAAAACCACTCAATTTGGCCAATAGCTGTGTGGTCTGTTAGTAGAGTGTTGGGCTCTTTGTTTCAGTGACTGAAGTTTAAATTGTGGTAGTCAATAGTCGGTCATAACTGGGAAATATGTCTTTGCTCTTGGAGCTAAAATATTGTTTCCATGTGAGAATTTTTGTCCAATCTGCATACTTTCTAGTTCTATTTCCATTTGGTTGGGATAATTTCAAGCAATACATATAAATCCATGAAAAAACACTGTTGTTCCTCACACCATTACACAGATGGAGAGTAAATAGTTTCGCAAAATGCAATTTGTTTTCTGCTTGTTATCCTTAAAACACAGACTGGCCATTGCTTTTTTGCAGTAATGATTTCATGTGGCTAAGTTCAAGAGTGATGATTTGAGATCTAAGCGTGGCCATCTTCATGAATAGACTTTAATGGACCTTAAAATGTCTCATAAGAAAGTTCCATTCAACCATGGTGAAACTTAATACTTGAATTGATGAAGTAGACCAGTGCTATAAAATTGTTATCTCTGAATTCTGATGTATCAAGTTGGAACAGGTGCCTTTGAAATACTAAAAGCATTGGGAAGTATCTTATCACCATTTTGTTTGTGGGCTTGTTGTTTGGTTGAATCCAAGTTCATAAATAATCAATCTCAATAGAAAAATGGGATCTTCATTTGACACAAGTTCATAGCTGTTAATTCCTCAATTACCTATGGAGACAAACCAGTGTTTTCTCTCTTTCTAATGGAACTATGCACATTAGCACATAGATAGTTACATTTATTTTTTCATCTTCTATTTTAGCACATTGTACTGGATATTGCATTGCTGGTGGAGTGGGTTGAGTAGGTGGTGCAAGTAGGGGAATGGAACTGGATGGTGCAAAAGATTGAAATGATATCTCCTCTTTCCTTTATTTTTTTTCATTTTTAGATGCAAAATGTTGAAGTAAATTTGTTGATTAAGAATGTGACACGAGTCCTATGACTATAGAGTTGAATTGGTATTAAATGTAGGTTTAGTTTTCTGCACATGGGTGTATATATTGAAAGACTTAAAAGTACACAGTGCTGATTTAGGATTGAGGATTAAATTCAGAATAAGTGAATTCAACGATCAAAAACATTTGGTAGTATTTTATATCATTGTACTTAGGGGCTTGTTCCTTCTGTTAGTGAACAGTTGCAAGGTCAAAAACCCTGATCTCAATCCGAGCATGGGACTTTCATTAAAACAAGAACTTTTTTTCTGCAATCAAACTGCTTCAAATATGATTATCCTTTTGTGAA